TTATTGAAGTTTTAAAATATATGTAATTCCAACTTCAGACATTCCTCTCCGTTTCAATTTTCTTTTTGATGAGCTTATTCCTATTTTTTGCTAACGTTGCCTTATCACGATACGAGAGTAAAGCACTGAAAGAATTGAAATTAGAATATCTGTTTGGAAAAAAAAATTTGCAAAGCATTTAGTAAAAAAATCGACAAAAAAAAAAACGGCGAAAAGTAACATTTTGATGGCCAGGTATTTCTTAAGTAGATAGCTATTATTCAGCGGACTTTCGAAAAAATACTCTCTATCCCATTGTCTATGGAGACTAGGTTGAGCTATGAAGTTAATTATTAGATTGCTTCAACTGAATATCCCGCAAAATTCAAGAATTTTTCTCCAGCCAAAAGTTCCCACCTAAAATTTTGGGTATTTGCAATCGTAAGATTCCCTACTGAGGTTATGCATTGTTCTCTCATTATCTTCGTTGGTTCTAGAATTTGTTGAGAGATTTTAATCAAAAAATTTCATTTTTACTCTGGTTATTATTGCTGCAAGGCGATTTGGGCAAACCAAGGTTTAAATTATTGCATGTAACTGCGACGAGAACCACTGAGATGTCGAAATTATGGTTTATAGAGAATAAGTTTCAACTTATCAGCTGCTCCCATGTTTTTGTTTGAAAATTTCAAAAAACGATTACGGATTACGCATGAGAAACACTTCCAATAAAAAAGCGTCCATTGTTAGACTGCACAAAAGCATAATAAAACGGTAAGGAGGCGCGAAAATCTCTAGACCTCATAGAAAATTTTCATTAGAGTTCTTAGTGATTTGAGGACACCTAAATATGGCAGTTTTACTACCATTGATTTTTCTTTGAAGTCTGCAGATATGTATGAGTGATTCTGCTGAGAAATGAAAAGAAGTAGAGCATTCCCATGTATTTCATATAGAATCTACATTTTAATGTTAAGAGTATGGACTTGTGTTGGATGTGAAATCACAATTCTGCCACTAGTTCTCAAGAATCTTTTTAGTTTAGTCCGAAATGAATACAGGGTAGTAGTTATACTAGTAAAATGCATATTCCCTTTATAGCGAGAGTAGTTGCAGCTCAATCAGCTAATAGAAATCGCTTGAAATTGCGGAGCTTTGAATGAGACAACCAATAGGTATCCTTTCTCTTTTTTCTATTGGCGAATTCAAGTGAATCCTATTTTCTGATCTTGGAAAAGATTGTTTTCAAAAATTTTTAGCTTTTTATTCTTACCATATTTTGTATCGAATCACGGAATATTTGATGAAGCATTAACGTAGAAGTTCTCTATAGACTTATATAAAACCACAATGCTCCGTCCTGGTTTACAAAGTTGAGAATACTTTGAAATGTACTAATAGTGTTCTTCCTAAAGACCAAAATAATGAATTGAATTTCCGCAGGAGTGTGTGAAAACAAAAACATCAAAAATGGCTGTTCTGCAATAATGTTTCGACAAACTTCTAAGATGGCAGAAAGGGCAACTTTGCACTTACGATAAAACGATTAACCAATATTAATTTTCATCATTGACTTTGAAGGAAGTTGACCTACGTCGTCCTGACACATTTCCGTGGTCCTCTTTTTTGACTGGGTGTGGTGGATGTCGGCGCCGTTTCATCGGCAACATCATCCATCTCCGTAAATATTTCGCTCAGTGGTGGCTCCCCCACCGGGCTGCCCTCACGCGGAGTCATTATTTCTATCTTAACCTGTTATGGTTAGCATAGTACTTTCTGCTAAATTCATACCTTATTTAAAGTGGAAGGCTGTGACAAATCGAATGCAGAGTCATCGGCGATATCAGGGTGGTGGTCATCAAGCTCGTCATCGTCTATATTACTATTAATTTGTGTGTGTTCCCTGTGTATTAAGTCAAAGTAGGCATACTCACGGTTTGCACTGGCAGAACCGTTCAGGGCCCTACTTTTACGACATTCGTATAATTGATGCAGATATGACGGCAGACTGTTGATGACCGCCTCCTGCCCTTCATGAATTCGCGCTCGCTCAAAAATGCATCTTATGATTATCGATCATTGTGATGTTTTCAATTGTTCGTTACAGACCTCATGCTTCCGCACCCGTTTGCAATCGGCGCGAAGCCGCTCCTCAATTTGCTTTTCGGTGCGTTGGTAAAATCCCAAATCAGACACTTCCTTAGCGAATCGCCTCAGCAGGCTTTTCTTGTCGCTTGGACCACTTTTTCCGGCTGAAATTGGAAGGTGTAACGCCTTGAGCGTTGAAGGTCAACCAAAAAACAAGGCTCACATTCGCTGGTTTTCCCTCTTCCATGATATTCTTCGTATGAATCGCAGTAAAGTTTCATAAGAAGTTTTAACTCGCATTCGTGAAAAGGAGGCGCTTTCTTGCGATCTTTCATCTATAGTGCTGTGATCACCACTTTTTGAGTAAAAGTCGGCAAAATGAACAAGGTGAATCAGGAAGTAAGTGAAGTGCTTGTAAAATCCCAAAAATCGAAGTTCGGATGAAAAATTTTTGAAACCCCAGAAGCAATGACAGCGTGCTTACAGTCCAGTGCGGAAGCTTCTAGAAAATTGGGGAATGCAATCATGCTTATCTTATGGGCAACATTGCAGAAAAAGTATGGATAATCTTCTAGTAGTAGTTATTATCTGCTTCAGTTTACCAATAACAAATCTATGACAATCTTATTTGATTGGTGGTGTGCAAGAGTGCTCGGCATTTGAGATGGCATTAGGATATGAATCTTTATTCATTTACTTATTCAAACAATCGAAGATGCACCTTTTTTGGTGCAGTTAGCGAAAAAAAAA